TGTTCTAAAAACTGGAATGGAGTAAATAGTAATTTTATTATTATTATAATTATTATTTAAAATTTAGGTAATGATGCATTTTTTTGATTAATTTTGCCTATTTCAAATCAAGAGGCGGAATGACGTGCTCGACTTTCAACTCTGTCATACCAGAATGTTGTGGACTTGGTTCATGTATATAACCCCACAACACCAACCACAATAAACCAAAGTCTTCCATTTCCAATCCTCTTTCAATTCCAAAGAGTTTTTTTCCCTTTTCTTCTGTTTTCTTCTTCAAACAAATGGAGGGATTGATTCCTATGGTTTTCAAGGCTATCAAGAAGAACAGGACTCGCCGGCAATACCAGTGCCTCTCTACCGTGGCTGCTCAGACCTACAACATTGCAGACTTCTATATGGATGGCCACAGCCCTGTGTATTTGGCATCTTCAGCTGAAAAGGCAGGCAGCATCCACCCTGAGGGCAGCAGCCATCACCGCCGGTACAAGTCTGTCAGCAACTTCTCCTCCATGGATTGTAGCAGAGCTGGTGCTTCTCCTGAAATGGGGAAGAAGCTAGTCAGGTTTAGAAGCCATAAAATTTTCTCTTGTGTTACAGGTGCCTAGGTTATTACCAAAGCAGAACAAGGCAAAACAAGTCCTCTGTTTCCCGCAAATGTAAGTAATGCTTGTAAACAGAGTTTTGATTCTGTTTTGTCCCTGCAACAACGATCACAAGGATCCGTGCAAGTGGTACAGCCTATGAGTCCAAGCCTCAGATGAAGAAATTTGGCAAAATATGATGATTTGTGCCCATACCCTTTTGTAGTTTTGTTCAACAATGCTTGTTCCTTTCTTTTTTTTAACTTATCGATCTGTTGTCAGAATTTGAATGCACGCGTCCTATCAAGTAAAAATAAATAACAATTGTAGTCATGTTACGATTGTTAGATTTTTTTATAAGAATCTGTGAATCATTTCTATCTAATTAATAGGTGAAATTTGAACCTGGCCCATAGGTCAAGGGACCTCGCTGCTCTAAAGGTTCATCCCTTTTCAGGTAATAGTTCAATCTGTACCCTTAATAATTGTTAAAAAAAATTAATAAGTAAAATTTAATAAGACAGAAACAATACCTTGTTTACCAACTAAGAAGATTATTTTGCTGGGTTCACATGAGTGTATCTTATATTAGATGGTTCAAAACATGCTTATCCTCAGAATCAATCTCTACATTTTTGGCAGCAGAATATTAATTCTCATGATAAAAACATGGAGAAGAAGACAATATCTTCCAATCATGGAAGTGGTTGCAAGCAAGAAAGAAAAAAGTATATGTATGTCAAGGGATGTGATGTGACCTCAAGATTCCAAACTGGGTTTGTTCAAATACAATGTTCTCACTTCTCAAATTTCTACAACTAATGCTATCCTGAAACTTGAATTTGAATGAATGTCGTCCCGTGTTAAACTTTTCCAGAAAATAGTCCAATCGACTGTTTGAGATATTTTTCCAGAACTAATACACAATCTTATCTTAAAACAAAATCTGAGGATAATCACGTGTTATGTGTCTCTCAGTTCACGCACCCGTAGCCTGGTAATAGTTAATCATAATTAAAATTTGAGACTAAGATTATGGGGGGAAACATCTTTTTATTTTCATCCTGGTCAGAAAAGACTATAGTCTTTGTTATAAGAAAAGGGTTCAGAGTTCAGACGTCAAAAAAAGACCTTGGTCCAGTCCAAATGCCAAATAGAATCAACGCCAAAAGAGCCAATTCCAAGCCTCAACCTAAAAATTTGAGTTCTTTTAAATTTTCTTTAGGGTTCATGTAAATATGTGAATGCTCCTGAGTTAGTTTTCTATTTAAATCACCCTGAATTGAGTGTTCTTGGATGCTAGATGATAAAATACGGCTTTGTTACAATATGATAAAATAGAAAAATGCAAATGTAAAGAAAACAAAGGTTAATATATAATAAGTTCCAAAGAACTCCTGCAGAGTAGCAACAGAAGTTGTTTCTTAGATGCTCCTGTAAATAAACACCAAAAACATCAATTGCTCTTAGCTTTCACAGTTTTGCTTCTTCCCTATTAGAACAAATGCAGCAGCAGGTATCCATTAAAAGATAAAAAAAAAGTTCTATTTATGCCAAAGCATGCAATTTTTACAATGAGTGTTTTGGTCGATATGTAAACCATGACCTTCAACTACTTATTTCCCCAATTGTATATTTTGATGTAAACAATTTTGTAAGATAAAGCTATGAAAGAGCAAATCCACCTTGGATGAGTTGCAGATGCCCACGTTTGGCAAAGGAGAAGATACATTATGGTCATGAATGTGTTCGTTGATGATCATCTAACCATAATATCACACTCACACCTGCAGAAGGGGAGAAAAGAATGAGTAGATGATCATAAACAAACATATTCACTTCAGCATACAGCACTATTGACCTCATAGCAAAATTAGAAACAGACACAGCAAGACAACAATTGAAGTGAGATACTACCAAAATATAAAGAGAGTATATTCTCAGGTATTATTCTCCCTAAAAAAGCATATACTAAAAGAACAAACCTTTCTTACCAAACTTACAGGTTGGTTAGAATAAAGGCTGGTTTGAGCTTTTAAGAATAATAATTAACTGAATGTTGTGTAGACCAACAACATTCAATTCTTTCCAATTTTGTGTTATTCTCACTCAATGAATTAATCCTTGAAACAGAAGATTTTCCCATCATTTTCATACCTTCAATGTTCATGGTAGGCGAAAAAACCTCTCCCCTCCACAATCTTATTGCCTAGAACGGTTTCCACTTGAAGAATTACACATCTCCATGCTGAACTGTTGAAACTCCAATGGATTTGAGATGATGCACTTTACTCTAGATCAAAGTTTATGAGCATGTTTTAGATGATATTATCGACATGCAGAAGCTTTTGGTATAACATAAACAGCATGTACAAGTATTTCATCATCAACTATCATACATTAGGCACCTACTAATCAATTGAGCCATATGTTAGCCTCACTATTTTCATTTGTATGTTTCAGGACAGTGTTAAAAGAACAAACAGATTGTTCAGACAGGGCTATAATTTTAGCTGTTGGAGGCAACTGAAGGAATAAGTTCGTTGCTACTCTCAATGGTATCCAAACATTGTGGCTTGGCAGCCCCATAATAAAAGAAAGCCATGATTTTTGACAACTCATCTGCAGTTCGAGTGCCTGGACAACCAATAGATAAGAATGTTCAAATCATATATATTAACACCAAGGTGAAAGACAAAAACTATTGGTTTAAGAAAAGAAACACCTTTCTCACGATATAATATCCTCCCAGCTTTAGTGAATATAATCTCAGGAAAAACAGAAACTTTAAGAGCAGAGACCAAATCATCCTCAACTACAGCATCGACTGCAACACACTGCTTGATAGAGATAGAATCATATTCAACAATAAAATATAAAAGTTATAAGAAATAATTGAATATACACGTACTCTTGGTGAAGGTAGGTTACAGTTCCATATAATGCGAACAGCTTTCTCCAATTCATCATGAACTCTTTCATTTTCCTTCGGCCTGCAAAGAATCAACATCTTTAATGTATCTTCATTATGGAAACTTCACCAGAGTAAGGAGTGTAAGTGTATGCCACAAGTTATCAAAAGGTATATTATGCAACCACTAGTTCTAGGAGACAAAAACTGAAGGATCCACAAAATGTTGGCATAAAGTAGAAGGATACTAAGCAAAAATACATTTGACAATGGAGAAAAAAGCCAGCTGGGTGGTTGGGTGGCTGCCAACATCTTCTTTCTAATGAGTATCATGGTACTTGTCTACTAGATGTAGTGATTGCAACTTGAATAAGGTAATGTAGCAAAAGATATAAGAAATCCTAACCTTTTATACCGATTGTGTACAAGAATGATTAGAGGACTTATGTCTTTGAACACGGTCTCTTCCCATTCTGCAGATTTAATGTCTTTGATTGGACGAATATAGTTATCATCTTGCCACACTATTTCTTTCTCACTATCATAATTCTCATCATCATCCTTCTTGACATTCTTTATAGTGATCTTATCAAAGAACAGCCCCAAGTTGAAACCCCACCCATCAGCATCTTCCGGCCAATCCGGATCATCCTCATCTACAACTAAGGGATAATCAGCAAGAAGCTTTTGCATCTTATTCCTCTTTTCAACTGGGTCAATTTCCTCCCCAATATCAGGATACCTAGCAATTACTTCCCTAATTTTTGCTCTCCACTCACGTCTCTCTTCATCATCAACAAGATACGAGTCCATCTCAACCTTTTTTCTATCCTCCTCCTCCTTCTCCTCATCATCATCATCATCATCACTGTCACTTAAATCTTGCCCTCCGAATCTCTTTCCAAGTTCCTCAACCATTCCAGACACCCTTACTCCATTTCTTCTGAAATTTCCACCCTGGTTTTTCAGGGGAAAAAAAATTGTACCATGAAGGAATTTAAACGAAACCCAGTTCCCCCTCCAAACAAAAAAGGAAAAAGATCAAGACTTTGGTAGAATTAAGAACATACCTGCAAAGGAAGCTTCAGAAAGCATGATGAGGAACTGAAAAACTCCATTCTCGAGCAACAAACCTTAGCCTTGCTTCTGTTTTTTTTAGACGGAAGAATAAAACTAGCCAATAAAGGACGAGCTTTGGCCTTGAGGTTGTTCTCTTTTAAAGGCGATACAGAATGCAGGAAACTATTTGTCCTTTGTAATGCCATTTCTACCCAATATCTCACAGCATCCAACTCTCTTCTTCTTTCTTCTTCTTCTTCAGGCAAAATCTTGGATAAAAGACAAATACACTTCTCTGCGTCCGAAACAGTTTTTCGCATGCGGTTATGGCATTTAGATAAGATTAGTCCATTATCCCAAAATGGGCCTTGTAGACATTAGCCCATTAATCCAATAGGGCTCTCCATTTTAACAAAAAGCCCAATTCATATTTCACAAAGGCATGTTCCATGCTTTCAATTATCATTCGTGTCAGATTGGTTTTTTTTTTAAAAAAAAACAACCAGATTCAATACTTAAAGTTATCATGTTTTGTTTTCATTGAACAGAGTTCACACTTTTTAAATAAAAATTTTAAAAAAATTTAGACACAACTGCATTTTCAGCGACGCTACAAGAAATGTTGATGATAAAAAGGCAAGCAAATAATACACAAGGTATTTGGATGTAGGGCAAAACCCTTCTAAGCTTCTCAACTTTTTCAATAGCAAGTGATAAGCCCTTGAACTAGAAATCATGCGAATAAGCTCTCCAACTCCCCGTTTGAAGCAAATCAGCCCCTCCGATAACCAAGCCCCTTAACACCATTTGTTTATTGGCTTGCATGATAGTTAATATCCATGTGGCATCCAACGTGGCAGAACCGTCCAAGCACAGAGAGGATGAATACCCATCACCGCCTTCACTTCCAACATAAACCAACTGGTACATTCGACCTGGAATTAAACCCAGTCCGTTGTACACACTGACTCCAGGCACCGTCTTTCCATTCCCAAGTTAACATCAGTAGGGAAATCTCTATCAATAGTTTCAGCACAGACAGTTGTGACCCATGAAGCGACATTGGTCACCGTTAGTCCACCAGGACCATCATTCCCGGTAGAAGCAAATACAAAAATCCCTCTATCATTTGCACCAAAAGCACTAATCACAATCGTGTCGAGATAATACTGCACGACAACACCATCCACGTTGAGCAAAATAACATCGACTCCCTCGACAACAGTGGCGTCAAACGCTGCTAGAATATTAGAATCATAACAACCTGAATTGCAACACACCTTATAAGCGGCGAGTCTCGCTTTTGGCGCCATACCTGCAGCCACC